TCGATCTCCATCTTTCTCTCTCTTTCCTGCTTCTCTGTCTCCTGCTCACTCTTGCAGAAGTCATCACTTGCAGAGGGCTTTAGAATTGAAGGTAATTAATACAAGAGATCAAGACAAACGTCCATAGTTACTTTTTGGACTAGAGCATTATGTTATGATTGGTGCTTAAAGATATGTTTGTGTGGGTTCATTATGCTGAGTACTTACATTTCTTAGCCACTGGTCTCTTCAACATTTATGAGAGCAAGCATCCGTGCTACATAGCCTACACCCTACTAGCTTTCATAAACAGAGCAAACACAAAACATCACCTCTTACATGCTAGAAACCTGAGTCCCATTGTTATCTTCTCAGAGATATCCAAATACCCACAAAACCCTGTTTTGTTCCCACGGGAGGGCATTTGGGGTGTTAGGGATTCTGGTATCATCATTGGCCATAAAGCTTACAGCTGAAATTGAAAATGTAGGTGTGCAGAATTGCCAAACCATAGCAAGCCTACTTTTACCTGTAACAAAATAGTCTCTGCAGAGGAATGTATCAACGTTGTTCAGCTTCTAGAGCACATCTTTTTAAAAAATCAAATACACAGGAAGTGTCCCTGCTGATATCATCTAAAGCCATTACCCGAGAGAAAATCCAAGAAACTCTGAACACTCAGTGTTAAAGCCTCAGTGTTTGTGAGTGGAGATGGAAAAAAATAAATTACAGCTCATCCCTGCATGATTCAATTCATATCAGGTTAGGCTCAGATTCCTAAAACATGTTCAAAATATAGGAAATGATTTTCTCCTGAATTACAAGACAACAAATGCAATATTTCTTGCTTTTCACATTGTCAAACCTTTAAAGAATTGATGGCTTCCCAAAAGAGGTATTTAGCATTTCTTCCTCCTTTCCCATCTCTAGCACTGGGATTCTAGGTTTAATAGCTTGCCTTATTAATAGCTGAATATAAGCAAATTTTACTTCAGCTATTACATTAACACCAAATTATACAATGAGAGGAGGGAAGGGAGACGGCGGAGGCAGCGTGGGTCCTTCCTGCTCCTTGGTCACTGTAATTTGGTTGTGGCAGATGCTTTTGAAGCTTACTAGCAGACTATCAGTTCACATCTGACATCATGGGTTGTGGAATTCAGTTTGTTTAAGTGCTAAAGAGGATAGGATATCCCACAGTGAATTCTATTAATGGAAAAAACATTGTTTGGTTATTTGAGACTTTGAAAGATATGTAATTTCTGGACTGGTTACGTACAACTGTTGATGAACATAATGTTGTATTGGAGGAAGAACTGCAGTCCTTCGCTATTCTCATGTCACCAAAGCCAGGATTAGAAGAGGCACTAGCTGAAGCTCTCAAGGCATGTAAATATCTGGAATTAAACACCAATAAACGTGAGGCAGAGGAAGCAAACCTTAAAGTGTTGGAGGATGAATTTATGACTCTTCAAAAGATGAAACAGCTAGAGATTAACCATCACAACAAGCTTTAAAGCAGTGGTTCTCAACCTGTGGGTCCCCAGGTGTTTTAGCCTATAACTCTCAGAAATTCCAGCCAGTTTACCAGCTGTTAGGATTTCTAGGAGTTGAAGGCCAAAACATCTGGGGACCCACAGGTTGAAAGCCACTGCTTTAAAGAGTGGCTTCAAGCGACAGTCTGATGTCTCTGAAACTCAGAGAAAAAGAAATGCTTAAAAATATGAAAGAGGGCCAGATAAATAATGAATTACAGTCTGTTTCTGAAGGAGTGGCAAAGTTATCTTCTTTTTTTACAGTTGTGCCTGGACAGCAAGAGCTAGCTGCTCATTCTGTATTACTAGCTCAACATGACACAGACAAATACTTGAATCAGGAGGAAGAAAGCACCACATCTTACTCTCTGTACAAAAAAAGCAGTTTTTCCATGACACAGCTGAGTTGGTTGCAATTTTTAATAAAGAACAGTATGGTATTATTCCACTTAGGAGGAAAGTAGTGATGTATTTGAGGAAAGAACAGAGTTGGAGATGGCATGTATTTGTGCTAAGCACCAACTGATTCAACAAAAGGTAAGCAGGTCTTCAGTGGGAAAAAGAAAATATTTCTTCTTTAAAGAGGATTCTTGGAAAAGAAAAAGCTGAACCTAGAATTTCTAGGCTGAACAATGAAATTTCAAAAATAAAATAAAAAAGCCCACTTGACTCAGATGATAAAGGAGGATGCAGTTACTGAATATGCGAGTGATTAGAGGTGATTTTAATCTACAGATTGTTCGACAGGTGTACTGTATATCAAGACAAGATCAAATTTGCCACCAGCTGATTAAACAGAAGTCATCATTTGAATTTCATCAGCTGGTGTATGAAACTGAATTGAGAAAAACAGGATTATATCTTGAAAATATGGTTCATGATCTGAAATGGAGCAGTGATACTTTTGTTCAGACACTAGAAACAATGTCTGAGCCATCTATATCCCATCATAAAATCCTAAGTAGAAGTACTGATTTGAGGGATAATGCAGCACAAAAGTCATATCAGCTTCTTGAAAGGAAGAATCCAAAACAGTTGTTTGGAAGACCTTGAGCAGATGTCTGAAGAGCTCCATCTAAATAAAAGGCTGCTACTTGATCGATTAACAGTAGCTAATAAAGATCAAATGTTACTCCTGGCAAAGATGGATGAGGATGTAATTGCCCTTCGTGAGTCTTTGTGCCACAGTGGAGAAAGTATCTGTCAGAGAAATCAGGAACTGAATGAAGACTTTCAGCAATTGGAATTCCAGCTAAACAAATTAAATCAAGTTATGATGGCTCTTCTTGCTGACAAGAAGTTTCTGGAAAATAATAAGCTACAACAAATGGAAAGAAAATTATGTGTACTTTTTCAAAGATGAAGACCGTTTAAAAAATGTTGTTAAAAAGTGAAATAACAAATTATACCACCATCTGTGTCTTGAAGTCAGAAATTTAAACTGATAGGATTTATACAAATGATGAAACTCTTGTACTAAATGTTGAAGTTTGGCAGATAACCAGTAAGCATTGTTTCCATAGCATCAGGTAGTCACACAGGGTGAGTGAAGAGCCCTAGATTCTGCTAAGCAGCATTTATTTGAAAAGTTCCCAAAGTTTATTCTTTCATAATTTGGGAAATGCCATCATATAGTAAACAGGAAAAAAGATGTTTGTAACAGGTATACATGGACTTTGTACATGGCTATGTCCATTGTAGTCTTTTTAGAGGTTTAACTGAATCTCTACTTGACAATTTAATGGAATATAGTTTTCCACTATAAAGTTTTTGCTTCTATCGCCTTACAAGCAGGCCCATAATTTATCATTGTATTCATGCACTTTGGAATGTGGCTGCGAAAAGTTAAATATTATAAAATAGTTAAAATAGGAAGAAATCGTCTACAGTTGGTGGGTACAATGAACACCAGAATTTATTTTAAAAAAAAGTCAACAATTCAAAGAAATATTAACTCACAGGAGAATTAGCCTGCAATGAGAAAACTGCTTTCTCCTTATTCTCCCAAAGGAGGTGTGGTTTTTGTCAGTACCAAAAAAATAGAAAATAAATACATACATTAAAAGGATTATCCCATCTTGAGCAGAGAAACTGTCTTGCAGATGGGCAAGACACTATCATTGCAAATTCTTAATCCATTTGGAATTGGGAGCATAAAAGAAAACTGTGAACAAATAATGCATCTGTTTCTGATGTATACAAACTTATTGTGAGCGAAGTTTAAAAGAGGTATCTGCTCAGCAATATTGCTAGTTTTCAACACAGTACAGTTGGCCCTCTACATTTGCAGATTTGATTACTCACAGATTTGATTTAAACGTTCCCTCTAGGAATCTCTACCCTCTTTCTCTAAAAGCTGACCATAGACTCACACTGGAAGACCTAGAGATTCCTAGAGATATTCTCTCAAGTTTTTAAAAAAGCACTTTCAGTGGGGTCCTATGCCCCTAATCCCAGCAAATGTGGAGGACTGACTGTATATAATTAAACAGGGCAATGCGTCTTCCCTATAAATATTTTGTGGAAGTTTAAAAATGCATCCCTTTGGAAGAAACAAAGTTGGTTAGAAGCAGTAGACTAGTATCAGCAGGAGTGGCAATGTGTTTAGTTGTGGTTTGGATAAAGCAAGCATGCTTAAGATGAGATCTTTAGTCTTTCCTATTCAAAGTTAAATCCATCTACAGAACGCATAGAACAGATTGTGAAAAATTAGCATCACAGTTTAAGAATATTCTGTTTAATCAGCTCACCTTCTTGCATTAATACATGTTTCATTTCTTATTATTTTCTCAAGACAGACATTTTAGGCCAGAGATATAAATTACACAGTGCTTCAACACTACAGCTGGCATCGCCAATGGTGAGAACTGCTGGCAGTTACAGTCCAGCAACATCTGGAAGGCTGCTTGATTCCCACCCCCGTTTTAGGCTAATGGGAAACAGAAAAAAAATAATGATCATCACATGGTAGGTCAGACTGTATAGTGTGTCAAGTGAAGACAGTATGCAGTGTGTGTCTGCATATTTTATTCAATTTTGAGATTTAACTAGGAAAGATAAAAACAAGAAACATTCACAATAATTAGAAATGTTTCCATATCAGCCAAGCTGCTATGAGTCTGGCATCCAAAAACATTAGGACTGCAACACTATTCTTTAAATATTCACCAATCTTTTCTGACCTGTGCTCCAAAGAAGTACTTCTACCACAAGTCTGACGGTAATGGATTTTAGAAACTTGTGAAGCAATGTCCAAGCAGCTTTGAGATCTAGTGAATAAAAGTAGTCAGATATCCTTTACAGATATAGCCTAGGTAGACTACAAACCTGCAAGGTTTCTAGAACGGAGTTAAGGCTTTGCAAGAATAGCCTAAATGTGCAAGCTCTAAGGCACATATTAGTACATTCACATTACTGTTAAAAAAAAGCCAGAGTACAAAAATTTCCCTCCCTCCCTCCCCATCCAACCCCCCCCCCCCAAAAAAAAAGATGGCACTGCCCAATTAGCTGTTACTTCTCTCAAATGCTGATAACAAGACAATCTGGAGCTTTGTTTTTAAGATAACCTGATTTATACACTTTTCACCTATATTCACTACCAGCAGTGCTCCCCCCATCGGCGTTGATAAAACTCATACCCTCCTGGATTAGCTACCAGTCTTTCACATGTGGCTATCCTCTTCCTTTACACCATCTTCCGTAGTTTTCTGGGGTTGATTAGCCACATCATTGCCAGACTCCTTTTGTTTTTCACCCTCATCAATATTAGTTTCTTCTTCCTTCCCTTCGGCCTTCTGCTTATCCTCAGCCTTCTGTTCTTTTGCCACAAGCTGGTAATTGATGCCCATCCCAATAAACAGGAAGATTCCAGAGATGATCAAGATTACGCCACATGCCCAATAAGTGTATTTGTAGTCATTATATATATCATTGAGTTTACCTGACAGAAAAAAGAAACATGGTAAGACAGTCTGCTTTGAAAGCATTCAAATTAGACAGGTACGGTGAAGGTAAAGGTTTTCCCCTGACATTAAGTCCAGTCATGGCCAACTCTGGGGGTTGGTGCTCATCTCAATTTCTAAGTTGAAGAGCTAGCGTTATCCGGATATACCTCCAAGGTAACATAGCCAGCATGACTACATAGAGCACCATTACCTTCCCACCAGAGTGGTGGGATCTACTCACATTTGCATGTTTTTGAACTGCTAGGTTGACAGAAGCTGGGGCTAAGAGCGGGAGCTCACGCTGCTCCCCGGATTCGAACCGGCGACTTTTTGATCAGCAAGTTCAGCAGCTCAGTGGTTTAACCCACAGATCCACCAGCGCCATTCTAATTGGACAAGCAAGCCTTAATCTTAATACCAAGAAGAAGAGCAACTACTTCCTCACACTTTTAGGTTTTTCCACATACTTTGATTTCTCAATTTAGAATCATACAAGTTGGAGGACACCACAAGGGCCATCCTCTCCGACCCTGTCATGCAGGAAAAGAGCACCCCTGACAGATGGTCATCCAGGCTCTGTTAAATGGCCTCCAAAGAAGGACCTTCCAACACACACCAAGGAAGTGAGTTCCACTGAACAGCTCTTACAGTCAGGAGGTTCTCTCTAATGTTCAAGTGGAATCTCTTTTCCTGTAATTTGAACCCCTTGGTCCAAGTACTAGTCTCCAGGGCAGCAGAAAACAAGCCTGTTCCTTTTTCCTTAACATATTCTTTAACATTTTAAAACATGGCTACCATGTCTTTTCTCAACCTTCTCTTCTGGAGGTTAAACATACTCAGCTCTTTAATTGCACCTCATAGGGCATGCTTTCAAGACCTTTGATCATTTTGGTTACCCTTCTCTTGATAACATTCCAGCTTGTCAATATCTCTCTTGAATTGTGATGCCCAGACCTGTACATATTGTTCCAGGTGAGGTCTGACTAATGCAAAATAGAAGAGCACCATCATTTAACTTGATGTAGACACTCTACCCCATAATAAAAGGCCAGTTTCACCATGGTTGCATAATAAAAACTGTGGCTACTGTGCCCCAGGGTTATAAGACTGTTTTTCTGGTATTTGGACTGTGCTAAAAGTGGCACAATTACACAGCTCACCAAATAACAAACACGCGACAGTAATGTCGATAGCCCCTAGATCGGTGGTTCTCAACCTGTGGGCCCCCAGATGTTTTGGTCTACAACTCCCAGAAATCCCAGCCAGTTTACCAGCTGTTAGTGTTTCAGAGAGTTGATGGCCAAATCATCTGGGGACCCAAAGGTTGAGAACTACTGCCCTAGATAGATAGATAGATAGATAGATAGATAGATAATACTTTACCTAGGAGAGGTGGTCCCAAAAGCACAGGGCAACATTCCACAATAGTCACCAAACCAACAGCACTAGAGAACCGTTGTGTTCCAACTAAATCCATCAGTGTTTCGAACAAGACGGAGCTAAGCCAGCCAAAGGCAAATCCAAAGAAGCCAGCATAGATGCAAAAGCCAGCATAGGTGGTGGATAAAGGTGCCATAAGGTGGCATACTCCATTATAGATCACAGACACAGCAAAGTAATACTGGATCCTGGGCCTCACCCACTTGGTGTTTGCGACCAAGCCCATGGATGGCCTGGCAACCATATCGACAAAGGCCAAAATGGACAACAGGAAGGCAGAAGATTCTTTAGAAAAATGCATGCTCTTCCCATAGTTACTGAGAAAGACTAATGGAGTAAATAGTCCAAAAAACATGACTACATTGCCAAACAGATAGAGCAAGAAGCCACGATGTGTGAAGAGAGACAAATCCAAAAATTTGTTAATAGTCTGGATGACTGTAGATTTCTCCTTCTTAGACTTCCCAGCAATAAGATCTGTACTGACATCTCCTGCTCCTTCTTCCTTTTTCACCATTTTCCCAGCTTCCTGTAATGCTTCCTTGTTAACCTCTTGTTTTGCTGGACTTGGCCTTGGACCTATTGGTCTCATTAGAGACCCAGCCACACAACAGTTCAACAAGAGGCCTCCAAGAATCAAGAAGCTCCCTCGCCATCCAAAAATGCTGTAGAAATATTGGTTCAAAGGAGCCAGTGTAGACAAGAACACGGGGCTGCCTGCCATAGCCAGTCCATTAGCTAATGGACGCCGCTTGTAGAAGTACTTGCCAATCATGGTCAAGGCTGGGTTTAAATTAAATGCAAGCCCAAGACCTGGAATAGAAGTAAATATATCATTACATGTAATGACATAACAGCTGCAATTGCAAACAGTGTGTTTTAATGACACATTTATATATGTGTAGCTGACTAACAGTAATCAGATTTGCTTTTACTTGAAACGTGGTTTATGCTCTCTGCCCCCTGGTTTAAATTATAAAAAATACTGACATTTATGAGCTGCATCTTAATGAATTCATTAAAGAGGTGCTGAATTCTCATATTTCAAAAAATATTAAAATAGAAATAGATGGTGTTTGCAGCAATGGTTGCCTTTTTAGGCTGAGGAATTAAGTGCAAAGAGTTTCTGTAAAGCAACCTTTCCAAACAAGGCTTGGCAACCAGATATTCTTATAAAGTAACCAATCTGGCCAATATAGAGGTGAGACTATAGCCCATCAACATCTACAAAGCTAAACAATTCCCACCCACCCTATATAGTTGTTTAATATTTTTTCTTTATATTTCTTGTGGGCAACTATTACAAAAATCACATACAAAATGGAATTTTTTTCCCTTTTTAAAAAGGGAGGGTTCAAATCAAAGGAGGGGTAAATTCACTTTTACTGGCTTTCCTTCATGTTGTTTATTTGTTTGTTTTGCACCAAAGTCACAAAAATAATGCAGAATTTTGTGAATGCTGGATGTAAAAGAAAGACAGACCTGAAAGTTCATTTTTCAGACATGCATCCAAGACCTTTCCCTTCCTTATCACCCAGACTCCATCAAACAAGTTGTCAAACTGCAGTCGTGAGTCACACCAGTCATTCTCATCTGGCAGTGCCCCTCCTCCCCACCCTAACAGTGTATAGTCAGTGAAACTTTGTACTCTCATGCTCCAGATCTTGGGCCCTCAATTATTTTTTATCTCAAATTAGCTTTTCTCAAATGGAGAAAAAATAATATTTGCTCACCAATGATCTAGTGAATTTTTTTCATTCATTTATTTTAATAAATTTCAATATCAATTCATTCCCATGTCAAGAAGTATCGTGTCTATGGGATGCCACGTTAAAATACTCGCAGCTGTTTCACTCACCTCCCACAACGCCAACACAAAAGTAGAGCTCCTCAACAGTATTGCAAAAAGAGGCAGCGATCAAACCACATCCTGACAGGCAGCCTCCTGCAATCATGACCGGCCGACTGCCGTACTTGTTCACCAGGATGCTGCTGATAGGACCTAGGAGAAATTAAAAAAGATCATTATTATCCAGATTTTATACATTTGCTTTGTATGAGTTTCTATACTTAAGAACTGGTAGAGACTAAGCAAGTAATTAACTGATCTCTAAGGACTATACATGAATTATCATATGTTGATAATTAGATAGTATACTGGGCTGATTCACACATTTCAGAAGATACTTTAAATTAAAGTTGGAATTCGCCTTCCCATTCCACCTCTTTGAAAGGATTCTCTGTCAAGTTAGATACTCTCTGGGAAATGGCATATGTTTGTAGGATTACTGGGCTGAAGAAGAGAAGATCAAAAGGAATTGCAGGCCCTGATTATGACAATTAGTTATGCACACAAGAGACAGAGAAGAAATGTAAAATACTAACAAGTGTGGAAATACACATTTATTTTATTTATCCAGACCAACTTGGAAGTCCCTGAACAGACTCAGAAGTGAAGTGGGCAGATCAAAAGACAACCTGTCAAAATGGAACTATCTAAAAGAATCCTCCATCTTGTGCAACTGTGGAGCAGAACAAACAACTCCATGCCTGTATGCTTGTCCACAATGCCCTGCATCATGCACAGAGGAAGAACTGTTTCAAGCTACAGACAATGTGGTTGTTGTTGCCTGGTTTTGGTCAAAAAATGTTTCATTCATTTATTTTAATAAATTTCAATTGTGCTCCTATTTTTATCAGTTTTATGTATGCAATGCTTTTGACACAAAATAAATGAAATGTATACAGACAGTTCCCAAGTTACAAACATTCAACTTACAGGGACAGAAAGTGAGGTGAAATCTTCTGAAGAGGGGCACAGACAGCACGACAAACACGACAGGGGTTAAACCTTCCCTATGCTATCCAAATCTTACACACACACACACACACCTGGAGTTGCACTTTAAAATGCACCTTTGCCATGTTACATACAAATTCAACTTAATAACAAACTTTGGGACTGCCTGAACAGTATATTACACACATTGTTAGTGGAACAAGGGGGAGTTGTTCCCCTGTTGTGTGTATGTTCAGCAAGGAAATCTGTTCTAGGATCCAGTATAAATGTACTGTTTTGTCCATCTCTTCCCAGCTTTCAGCCCACATTTCTTTTTGTTGGCCTATGCAAGAACTTTATTTTATTAACTCTGTCTCTCGCCCAACCAAGAACTTCCATTTTATTGGCTTCGCTTCATCCTTTAACTCTCATAGCTCCATATTCTTGTAATTGTCTCTAGGGGTGCATTTACACTATACAATTATCGCAGTTTGACTTCACTTTAACTCAATGCCATGGAATCCTGGGAGCTTTACTTTTACAAGCTTTTTAATCCTCTGCAAAAGAATACTGGTGTCTCACGAAACTATAACTCCTAGGATTCCAAGGAGCATAAATTTTACAGTGAGTAGATGCACTCCTGGATATTTACATATGGCTCTTTCCATCACTGATTTATAATCTCATTTTTAAAGTTCCTTATCCTCTAAATTTTTGAGATATTATTTTTATTATCATAATCATGTATATTACGATTTGTGTTTTTAGCTTTTATTACACTGGCTTTCATGTTTGTGTTTGGCTTATTTAAAAATTGTGTTGTATTAGTTTTAAAACTATTTTACTCCTTACTTTCCCTATATATATTTTTCTTTTAAACTCTATTTCTTTTGGTTTTACTTTGTTATGTCTAATGCTCACTGATAAATAAATGAGTAAACTTCAGTCTTTTAGCAAAAGCAGCAGGTAGATATTAGCAAGAAGTCCAAAGGGAGTCTTTTCCGTCCTGAGAATGCCATGCTCACCCAAGTATTAAGTATGTTCCAGATGAAAATTCTCCAGAGATATTTCAACCTTAGCATCTTTTCAGACTAAGGGTCAGATTGCTACTATTCAGTCCAAACTTTGTTACCCTCTCTTCACATGACACAAACCAATTGGTTACGTATTATGGTAGTGCCAGGACAGATATCAGATAATTTAGGTTAGGATATAATATTCAAAAGCATTTTCACATAGGTGAAACTTTAAAAAATATTGAGCAGACATAATCCAGCCTAGAAGTGATTTAGGACCTCATCACATTGACCAAAGCAAGCGTCTTAGGGCACTTCTAGCCTGCTTTAGGGACATTACACGCCTGCCATTACATGATGTCATGTGACTTCTGGCAAAGGCCCCACCCCCAACTGGAATAGAAGCATCCTTAGATGCTTCCCTCCAAACAAAGGAGCCTTCCCGTGTTGTGTTGACTCCAATGGTGTCAGCACACTTCTGCCCAGTTTAGGCAACACTTCCCCCATGTGATAGGGAAAATGTCGCCACACTGGAGCAGTATGCAGGGCAACAGACTTGCCCCTTAAGCTTGCAATTTCGCCCCGCTTGCTGGCAAAAACGGCATTGGGGGAGGGGGCTCCCCAATGTGATAAGGTCATCTAGCACAGTAAAAAAAAAAGATTAAGATACATGAACCACCTGTCATTCTGGGAGTGGTTTCGACAGCGATCATAACATATGAATAAAATAAAATGTAACATAACTATGAAACTTCAATCAAGGGAAGCTGTTCTAATATTACTTCTTTATTCCATTCAGAGACAGCCAGTAAATGTAATTGTAACTCAAATCTTCTACAGCCAAACTTGTTGCGTACAAATTGTATTCTTTTAATTACCATTCAATGGTTTGAGTTTGCTTAGTCTTCATGGCAGTATTTAAAATTCTTCATTACAGAAAGTCCCCAAATCCAAAGTAAACAGTGATTAAGGACTGACTCATTGTTCTACAGACACTAAAGCCTATTTAAATAAAATTCAGTGGGAATGTCCTGCATATTAACTAATCCGGTTTCTCCATTAACTGATAACAAATTTGTCAACATACATCCATACTTATCTGCACAGTGACTTTTCAACCTGGTCAATTGTCAACAGTAACCTGGTTGGAAGCTGAACAATTAACAAGAGCAACCTGGTTAGAAAACAAGACATTCCTAAATCCTATTTTGAGTTCCAACTGTGTCATGTCAGCTGTTCCACCTGAATCCCTTCTGGTTCTTTTCAAGGCAGTATGTAAATCAGGGTGCTTCATAGTTTTGAAAACAATTATCCTCATAAATAATGCTATTAAAAAGTTCACTAGGAGATCATTAGATCTGTATCACAGATTGAGCAATTGGCAAACTCAGATGTGAAGTAAATGTCTTGTTTTAAAAAACATGAAGCTTTCTCTAAAACCATATGGTTGGGCAACCAAACTAAAATTTACTTCCTTTGGTAACTGCACTCTCCATTTTCAGGGAAAGACCTATTTTAGTCTTGCTATCCAATATGCTCTTGATTAGAGATATTAGAGACTAAAAATGTGACCTTCATGACACTTTCTCCACTATTTCCTCAAGATCACCGAAATCCTTCCTTTAACATTTAGCTTACATGAATGAAAATAATGGTTTAATGTAGAATTCAATAATGTTTAATACCTGTACAGATTATGCTAACCATGCTTTTATTAAAGTTAGGCATATGTTAATAAATTCTGCTGAATTGCACCATATCATAAAATAGAAAATTAGTATAATTCAAGACTAGTTGACAAAGTGAGCACCCAGATTATCTACAACATCATAAGACAAGGGGAATTAAACATTCTAGGACACTTTCACCCTGTCTTGGGGAAGAATACCCACACCAAACATAATAATAATAACCACAACAACAACAACGTTATTCTTGTATCCCACCACCATCTCCCCGAAGAGACTCGGGGCAGTTTACACATGGCACAAAAGTGCCTAAAAACAGAACATAAAATAAAACACAATATAAAATGCAATTAAATAAAACAAATAAGCATATAAAACAACCACTTAAACTCAATTAAAACATTACACAATGTTGTGTGACTTCCGGGGAGGCCCCGCCCCCAACTGGGGTGGGAGCATCATTGGACACTTCACCCACAACACAGGAGGCCTTCAATGTTTCGTGCTGACTCCAATGGAGCCAGCATAGGGTCTCGCCGGTCAGGCAATGCTTCCCCCATGCGTATAGGGTGATGGATTCATCCCTCTATTTTTTCAGCAAAGCAGAACACTTTGCCTTGCCTTTCTGATAAGGCCTGATTCATGAATTCGGCTGCTCTCCTCACTGTAAGGAGTGGTTTATGTAAAGAATTGCAGAACATGAACTTTGACACCCTCTAGTTATGCAAAGACTTTTAAAACAGAACTAAGGCATCATAAAAGTAAGCACCCTTTCCTTTTCTATGGAAAGACATGCTTACATTTAATAATATGATTTCACTTAATTGGAGGTTGAATTAATGGGGAAACTGTCAGTGCTAATGAACATACAAACTAAGTTGCATCTTTACCATAAAGAGGGGCAAATAAAACCAGTAATATCTATGGATGCGTGAAACTTGAAAATATTGTCCTGTGTCTTTTTCAGAAGTACTGGCTGGATCTCATATTAGCAACATTTAGTCCCTGTTCTATAATGAATCTTATAAGGCTCCTTGTACACCTGTATAAAATCAACACTGAACTGGATTATATGGCAGTATGGACTCAGATAATCCAGTTCCAAGCAGATATTTTGGATTATCTGACTTGATATTCTGGATTATATGGCTGTGTGGAAGGGCCCTAAGAGCTATTTATGTATGTATTTAAATATTTTTACTGAATTAGCAAATGTAACATGTTTAATTTAATTTTATATGTATTTTGTATACATTTGTATATATTTAATTGTATAGTTTTAAAGTTATGAACTACTTCATGTCTTACCTGAAAAAAGTGGGGTACAAATAAATATAAACTGTGTAATAACCATCATAATCTCATAAACATATTTTATACAGTGTGACAGTAAAGCTCCTATAGGCAAAGCAACACATAAAACAGACATTATGTACAAAAAAGTACCTGACCACTGTGGGGTCTTGATGGCTCAAAATGCTGACAGTTATAACGATTATATTTAGTTAATTAATTGTGATCTTCTTTCCCTCCCACCAAAAAAGGATTCAAGGCAATTAACAAAATTGATGGTGGTGGTGGTAGTGATTATCTGTTTTATTCATTAGCAGGGGCTGGACCCAATGACCTTTGAGATCTATTTCAATTATTATGGTTCTTTTTTTCCAGATTTATGTGCAATCTGTCGCAGAATAACAATTAAGGATAAGATTGATTAAATAGTACACAGTCCTATCATTAATACTATTACTACTGCTAATACTAGCATTATTAATGTTTCTTGTTGGCCAAATACTTCTGATAAAAACTCTAATTGCATAATCAGCATGACAAATATATTCATATTGGTGGGTTGCTGTGAATTTTCTGGGCTGTATGGCCATGTTCCAGAAGCATTCTCTCCTGACGTTTCCCTGCATCTATGGCAGGCATTCTCAGAGGTTGTGAGGCCTGTTCGAAACTAGGCAAGTGGGTTTTTTTGTATCTGTGGAATGTCCAGGGTGGGAGAAAGAATTCTTGTCTGTTTGAGGTAAGTGGGAATGTTTCAATTGGCCACCTTGATTAGCATTTAATGGCCTAGCAGTTTCAAGGTCTGGCTTCTTATAGTATGGTTTTAATATAAATGTCAAATGGAATATGAGATATAAAAGGACATCTGCAATCTATAGGATAATATAAGATAATCACTTCTGCATAAACCGTTTCCTGTTATCATAGTGGTGAACCAATGCTCAGATACAATTATATAAGGGAAAATAGATTGGGGGGGGGGGGGCGCACAATATCTGAATCTTCATTTCTGATCCATTTATTTATTTTCTACAATACGAGTTCCCTTAGTTTCTTCAAGTGAGCATTCAGGGAATGAATTCTTTGAACTATTAAGAAACAAATTACAGAGGTCTCATCAAGACAATTACTGTTTACATGCTTATTCTTCACACTGAAGTGAGGAAGTCTGCTAGTTCCCTCCCTGGCTAACGAAGGACAAAGCAGAGCCTGTTCCCTTCCAAGGGAAAGCACTCATCTCATTCCACCAACGTCACTTGCTTTTCAAGCACAAATGGAAAAAAAGCCTGGTCATTCACGCACTTTGCAGCAGCATTGAAGCCAAAAGAGAATGTAATGTAACATTGTTTTAAAAGAAAATGGACCTGAATGCACCAGTATAAGATGAAACCTCCACATGCAATGCTTTTACATGCTGGGTTACATTTAAAAAGACTCTTTGAGAACTTTTGATTATAAAATAATGGGAAGAACGTTAAATTACAAGAATTATTATTTACTCATAATTCTTGTAATTTGACATTCTGAATTGAGTAAATAATAACAAGAAATGAAGGATAATTTATCTTCTTTTTCAATCCATGTTAGAGAGGATGGGAAATCTACTATTTTTCCCCACCCCTAGCCTTCCCTCACTCCTTCTCCCTATCCCCCCCCCCATCCCCACACCTCCCACAGTACCTCCACCACATCCCTAACTCCCCCCCCCTCTTTTACCCTGTTTTACCTAATTGGAAAATGTCAATTAAAATGTGTTTTGAAAATTACAAGAAATATTAAAATACTACCATTGTTTACAATCTGTGTGTTCTAGCATGCATAATTTATTAGTGACTATAATATATCTAAAACAGTATTATATACATTTTAGAAATGATACCAGATGTTCTTAAATAGTAGAATGGCTATGTTTCATACATCACTTTTCTTGCTTTAAAACAGCATTTCCTGTTTTCCAAATTGTGATCTGGCTAATATACCATATATATAAAATATTGTTTCGGTGTTTTTAAGATGTTGACTGTATTATATTGTAAATATATTTTTCTTTTGTCTCAGCACTCCATATGAACTGGATCTTAACACTGTAATTATCCTACACTTAACTGGTGCTTCTTGCGTTTTTCATGTCAAGCTTCATATTTGCAGGTGCTTAAGATGCCCATAGTAGTATTTCTGTGGGTCTCACTGAAAAGCTCCTGCTAATTGCTCTAAGAATGAGACAACCTCACGCATCAAATTTAGGCACCCCGTAGTGCAAATTAAGAAATGTTATGGTTTGTCAAATGTTCTGATCATGTTATCCAGCCTTTTGTGGGAGTGAGAGCAAAAAAGAAAAGAAATAGATGAGTAAACAAAAACAATAATACAGGCAAGGTTATAGTAAAAATGAAACTTAAAAACATTATCCTTTCAAGGGATTCATTGACAATGTCTAGGACAGTGGTTCTCAGCCTATAGGTCCCCAGGTGTTTTTGGACTACAACTCCCAGAAATACCAGCCAGTTTACCAGCTGTTAGGATTCCTGGGAGTTGAAGGTCAAAACATGTGGGGACCCATAGGTTGAGAACCACTGGTCTTGGGAGTCTAGAGCTGTAACAAAGGCACTTTGTTACAGCCTTCAACTCATTTCCATCCCTGGAGCTTGGAAGATCTACACAAATTCTAAAATCTTGCTTGGGAAATGAAGATTTGAGACCAGTCTATAATTCTTCATCACATGAGGATTCAAGGATTTATTTATTTTTAATAGCAGCCTCATCACAGAATCTTTTAGTCAAGATGGAGACTCTCCTTTGCTACAGTGATGCATTCACCATTCCCCTCATCCACTAGACTGTGCCCCTCCAGATGTTTTGGACTTCAGCTCCCACAGTTTCTAACAGCTGGTAAACTGTATGGGATTCCTGGAAACTGAAGTCCAAAACACCTGGAGTACCAGAGTTTGAGAAACACTGCACTATACCAATTCTCCTCTACCTGTTTTCAGGAGAAGAATGTTACACCTTAGATTTACTTATAACAAAACAGTCTTTTTAAATGAGGCCAGTCTTTCATGCTAGATAACAATGTATTGTAAATATTTCCAAATCCAATGTCAGAAAATCAAGATTAACAAAATTAAATGTCTAGAAAAACCCAAAGATTAATATTTGAAGTTAATTACTGGAAAAGAACCTTAGCTTTTTTTAATCCTCACTCCAATTCTGCAAATTTTAAACTCCTGTTCCTTTGTTTTGCCATTCTAATGACATAGTTATCATTAACTGATCAAGCTTCATAATGGAGTTTAAGGTATGTTCAGTTTACATGACCAAGCCAATGTCCAGATATAATTATATCAGGGAAAGGAGACGGGGCAGTATCTCATTCTGGAGACAAATGAGCAAAAAATGAGGAAACAAAATAGATCTATTAATGATATCATACCTCCTCCAGCTAAATCAAAGACTAAAGAAGTAGCAATTAAATCAGACCTCCATATATAGAGCAAATGAAGCTCAACAAGTCTACCAACTTACCTCCTCCATACATTACTGCAAGCATAATTGAGGAGATCCATGATACTTTGCTGCTAGATGCATCAAAGATGATCTCTATCTCTTTAAAAAAGACGGTAATGGATTTTGGGAATGCATAGGAAAAACCAATAGATATAAAGGCCCCAACAACGACAGCCCAACCCCACCCTCCTTCTGGTGGGGTGTATCCTACAGGGCCTCCAATGGCTGGTGCCATCTTGATTGAAGCAGTAGTGATTCAACTAGGGATGAAAGATCTGCAAAGAAAACAAGACAAGCCAGTTAGGGTTGTTGAAGCAAAGGCTGACTACTGAAACTTCTGCCTACTATTGTTCAGAAACAGTCAAGAAAATTGTCTACCCTAATGAACTCTAGTATTTGCATCCCAGCCTCTATATTTTCATCTATATTTGCATCTATATTTTCAGACATATAGAAAGCAAAAAGAGAGCGAAGTACAGAAAAATCTCCTCAAAAACGTTTAGGCTGTATGAAATAAAATATTGTGAGAACCAGCCTAGCTTCCCATCCTCTCATACTTATCTAATACTGCATAGTATAGAGTCCTTGTTATGAAAGAAAAGGTGGGATATACAAGAAGAAATGGGAGTGGAAGACGAGGAAGCCTTGCCCACACATCAAAAATAAAAAGGTATTGCTAGTTATCCAACCCCTAAATCATGATTGCTCCCAACTATACAGTTTATGCTTCGAACCAACTTAATTGATCTTTAGCTGGATGCAGAAAATATATCAAGCTGTGATTAAACTAAAAAGGAACTGAAAACTTCCTAATTGTGCATCTACACTGTAGAATCAACATGGTTTGACAACTGCAATATCTCAATGCTATGGAATAACTGGAGCTGTAACTTCACAAAGCCTTTAGAGTCTTCTCTGCTGAACAGTGCTGATGCCTCACCAAACTACAACACTTATTGATACATAATGTGTTCATTAAAAAGCTATTAATCATATGGATCCAGAGAACTGCAAAATGCCTAATTCGTCTCTCATGTTATATTATTACATTCCAAGATATTTTGAAAGCATTTAGCCATAGATGAAATCTACTCATTCCATGTATCTTTCTTTGGGACTGATATACAATAGTCAATTGGCATAAACTTCTGAAAGTTAGTCTGAATAACCATGCAACTACAAGGCAAGTATATATGAAGGTTTCTGCTTTGCAGATTTGATAAGTATGTTCTCTCTAGGAATCTTTAAATCCTCCAGAGTGAATCTATAGTCAATGCCCGTCATAGTTGTGCTGGAAGTCCTAGAGATTCCTAGAGAGCAGTTATTTCAGGTTTTAAAAATGTGTTTTTCCTTTAAATACTGTAGTCTCTGCCTCCTCTTCTTAAAATACGTTCATGAATATATTTCTGCATTTGGTTGTTAGTTCTGTGGCAGTGTTTTGGGCTCCAAGAGTAGAGATATCTCCTTTTCTACAGATTTTCTTATAATATATTTGAGAAATGTCCTAGAACGAATGTCATCAACAACAACAAAAACAACATTCTTAATTGCTAATAGAAGGGAGCTGTTCAATTTCAGTTTTAAGGAATCGCCTTTGCTACTGTCACAATACTACATGTTTGAGTGAGAGTATCCAGAGAGAAACTAGAGAAAAGGCACTCTCTGTGCAGCTTTACACAGGTACAGAGCAACAGGAATCTTATGTAATGTGATTCCTCTGACCCCAAAAGACATACAGGAATGAGACAGTCACAGCAGAATTTAGTGCTGTTGGCAATAAATGAGCATCAGGTATCTAAAATGTTTTTGAGAAATCTTGGGAAATACAGTCAGTCTTCCACGTTCACTGGAATTAGGGGTAAAGGGCCTCTGCAAAAGTGGAGTAACACTTTCCTTTGGCAAAAGACAAAAGTTTCAATACCACAACCTTTCCCATCCCCTTGAAAATAGCTTCAGGATCAACAAAAAATACTAAATTTAGTATAGCCTATAACAATGGAAAATTTAAATAGATGCCATGCACTGGGCTCAGGAAAGCTTCTTGGAACATAGCATATCCTGCATTTTCCCCAAAATAGTGCCTTTAGGGTACCATGAAGATGTTAATGGAATATGCAATACCAAGCTACTCATATGGGCCATCAGAAACATTACACACATTCATTTCAGAAGAATTACTTCAAATAACTTTATAAACACTCCTGACCTAGAGGATACATCTAAAGCACAGTATCCAAGCAGCTAATTTACAATGATCCAAAAGTTCTTGAAGAAGCATAAAACAAACACCGATCCAGTAAACCAATCTAGTCAAAATATGCCTCTGGTATTCAGTGAGAAAGAATAAGGTAATAAACAATAATAATTCCAGGTTCCAGCTCTTTTAATTCTCATAAAGATCAGCTAGGTTTGTCCTACCTCAAGGCCACAGGTACTTAACAGTATCCAAAAGTTCCACTAAATTACCAGTATACCAGTAACTACATCTCCTTGTGCAGCATCTGCAGTTTTTAATATGATTTTACTGTTAAAGCCTATCTTCCTTTCTGTCTTACAGTAAAGTCTGTTAAAATGTGTGCTGCAATCTCTCTCCCGAGAAGCTCATGCAGGAAGCCCTCATTAAAAATGCCTGCTCCTCTCCACCTCAAGCGCCCCAAATGACAATCAAGCTGTTTTTTCAGCATCTTCCATTTGCTGATAAACATCACTTGGGCTGGAAAAGAAAATGAAGGAGGGAGAGCTGCCTTCAATGGGGTGGGAGCCCTTCACACCTCTGCCTCTTATCATCATTTTTGCACTGGATCCCTAATGGGGGCAGTTGTGTTCCTTGCTCTCCCCACCGACCACCTTTTTCAGACTGCATTTGCATTGTTTTCCCTGATTTATATCCCTTTCCCTATCTGCATTTGTATAGATGCACACAATTTAGGATTGGCAATGTTAAACACACACACCATTGTGTGTGTGTGTGTAACACATTCTCTTTAGCATGTTRCCRCTAWGCATTTTAAAAGGGGAAGAAAAAGATTGGTTCACTACATGTCCCAAAGTTATCCATGTGTCAAAAKAAACAAACCCATAATGTATCCTCCAAAACCTACTCTTGACTTATGCAGGTCAATTTATACATGACTATATATGATAGTTTTACTTTTAGTAAGCAATTTTTCCTACAGGTTGAATCTAAAATCTACCAGTACATGCTACAATGCACAAAGATTTTATTTTAAGCAAGTTAGGTACATTATCCACCCCAATCTTCTGGGATGAATCCTTTCTATTTCATGATACCTCACACATGAAGTTGCAAAGTGGCAATAGTCCTTCAAGCAAATACATCACATGACCTCTGGAGATCAGTTCTATTTCTTGACTACAGTTAAGTCATATTTGACTTCATACCTATATATTACCTTTTTTAGACTACTGCTACAATAGACCCTAGCTACAAATAAACGCTTACAAAACAAACATTTATGATACATATACTATACTTTCAAACCAATAGTGATACTGTATTAGGTGAAAAGATTATGTTCGAGCTTCATTCACACACAAACAAGAGTCTAAGAGGATATTAAGATATAGACAAGTATTTGTGACCGCCCCCCTCCCCCCAACTTTTGATCTTTCTGAAATTATCTTCGCTAGCGCAGGAACCTTGTTTAGGGGGGGAACACGCTTGGTTAATATTAAATTTTTCCAGCATCTGTTTAACACAGTGTGAAGAAGAGACAGAAGTACAAAATAGTTCTAAGTTACCCAATATTTTACAAAACCAATGTCCCTTGCCCCTTCATTTAAAACTCTGCAATCTGCTATGGCATTTATTAACAGATAGTTTAGCTAAACTCATGTAACACAAAAAGGTCTTTTTCAAGCTTGATTGATTGATTGGCTTCATTTATGCCCTGCCTTTCACACTCAAGGCGGCTTACAACTCCAGCAAGATTCAATGCTGTTTAAAACATAACCATAAAACATATCTCTTCAATTAAAACAATTAAGAACCCAAGCAAATAAAATACATAGAATAATAACAGATTAAAAACATATAAAGTGCATGGTACCATTCATCCATAACCCTTGCTCATAATCCTTATTCAAACTGCGTCAAAATCGTAATATAAATAAAGTAAATAAATAAATAAATAAATTGTGTCTTAACTTTTTTCTGAAAACCAGAAGAGATGGGCCCTGCCTGATGTCACTGGGGAGGGAATTCCACAGATGGGGGGGCCACCACTGAGAAGGCCCTGTTTCTCATCTCCAGCAATCACACTTGTGAAGGGGGTGGGACCGAGAGCAGGGCCTCCCCAGCTGATCTTAAAACTCTTGTTGGCTCATAGGAGGAGATGCGTTCAGACAGGTAAGTTGCACCAGAACCATTTTAGGGGTTTATAGGCAAAGACCAGCACTTTGACTAGGCCTCAGTAGCAAACTTGCAGCCAGTAGAGCTGATGTAACAGAGGAGTAGTATGCTCCTTGTATGCCACCCCAGTTAGAAATCTGGCTGCCGCCCGTTGGACTCATTGATGCTTCCGGGCCATCTTCAAAAGCAACCCATTTACCTTTGCATCTTTACATATACAACAAATGACAGTAGCATATGCTTACATGTTCACTTTCTTCCGCTTATCATCTTTTCACTGATCTCCTCCTTTACAGATTATGAAGCATTACAATCTGTTCCAATTTGAACCAGAACACAAATTCCCTCGATGAGTAGTCTCTAAGGCCGGCCACACACACAATTTTTACTATATAAAACTACAAGGTAAAAGCATACAAAATAAATTAAGATTTAAATGCGTTAAACAAACAAACCAAACAGGAAAGACAGATTCCTCTGAACTTTCTCATTAATAGTGGTATTTATTTATTTATTTACAGTATTTATATTTCACCCTTCTCACCCCGAAGGGGACTCAGCGCAGATCACAATGTACATATACAAGGCAAACATTCAATGCTGTTTTTGACACACAAGACATACAGTTAGAGGCCATTCAGCAGTTCTTCTATTTCGGATCCTGGAGGTTGCTCAATTCGGCCACAGGGGGAGCTGTCACTTCGTCCACTATGACATCAAGTCTTTTTGATCGTAGTATTTCCTTCTTGCTCTCCGGCATTTTTATGGTGTCATAAATTAGCCTCCCTGCTTTAAGCATTCTCTAATTCCTCTACTCACAGCTCACAGCTGTTTTCGAACTGCTTAGGTCGACAGTGAGCTGGGCATTTTTTTAACAGCTTTTTTTAACAGCTATTAACAGCT